AAATGATTTTTTATTCTTGTTCACAGCTTGGCAAATTGCAATCCATAGACCTATGTGGCCCACAATGCAAGACTGATTTTTTTTTGGTACTGGGGATGGAACTTGGACCCTTCTGCTTGCAAGGCAAGCAGTGGAACCACTGAGCCAAATCCCTGACCCTTGATTTTTACATTTTTAAGTGGGCTGGAAAATAAAAAGTAGAAAAATTTGATAATATATGAAAATTTTATAAAATTCAAATTTTATAGCTTCATTAGAACATGGGTAGATTGTTCATGTTCACATTTTTGATGGTTGCTGTTCAGCCACAGATGTAAAGTGGAGCAGTTGTAATTGAGACTATGTGGACCTTTTACAGAAATTTCCTAGTACTTGTCCTGTTTGAATCACAGAAATAAAATTATTTATTGCATGTATTCTTAATGTCATACTTTTGTTTGTAAATGGGATAAAATACTATAATGACTGTCAGAGTTGTAGTATTCTTTTCCTTTCAGTGTTATTTTCCTCTCTAGTTTATAATTATTTATTTATTTATTTATTTTTTTTTGTAGTATCAGGGATTGAACTCAGGACCTTGCATGTGTGAGGCAGGTGCAGTGCCACTGAGCTAAATCCCCAGCCCGACTATTTTAAATACTCTCACAAAACTTATTTTACTTTCTGCTCTTGAGGCTATCTTTATTAGTCTGGGTTCTCCAGAGAAACAGAGCCAAGAGGCAATACATAGATTAAATAATATTTTGACATGTAAATATCTATCTATAAATGTATAGATTATGTAGACATTGACATACGCATCTATAGATATATAGTTAACACATTTTTTCATCTATAAATATGGAGATTATTTTTATTCATATAGGTAATATAGCTATAGATTATATCTATGGACTATATAGACAACAGACATTCCTTGTGAAAACTACATATTCTTGTAGATATGTAATTTATTATAAGAAATTGTTTTGTACAGTTATGGAGGCTGAGAAGTCTAGGATCTGCAGTTGGCAAGCTGGCAACCCAGTAGCCAATACTATGGTTCTAGTCCATACTTGAATACATTCTCCCAGTTTAAAGACAGGTAGAGGGGGATTCTCCTGTCAGAGAAGAGTTTTTTCCTTTACTTGCATGCCCCTATCATCACAAAAGACCTCAAAACTCGTGGGGATTTCTTATCACTTGTAAACTGCCATCATTTCCACAGGCATTAGCTAGGTGTCCTCTAATCCATTTTGGCTCTGTTACTTTATGTGGAGGTAGTGGAAGATACTAGTATAACCACAGCCTCCTCCTGAGTTTCAGTTAATTTGCTTCAGTGGCTCACAGAGCTCAAAGGATGCAGGTGCAAAGGTGCCTGGGGTGAGGTGTGTCCGAAGCAACACAGAGTTTCCATGGAGCTTCCCTGTTCAATAATCTGGAAGTTCTCCAGATTCTGCCCTATAGGAGTTTCATGGAGACTTCGTTGCATAGACATGCCCAAAGCATGGAGAACCATGTTAAAATGTGATGGGACAAAAAGAGGACTTAATGGAATAGACCGAAAGAGAACTCAGAGATCTTGGCCTGTCGTTGCAGCAGTTCTCCCTTCATGGTTAGGGGCAGGACCCCCCTCCCCAGAATGAGGAGGGTCTTATAACTCACTGCAGACAAAGGTTTATCAGAGAATTTATTTATGTCCATCTCTAAAAGTGGGTGGTTAGGGATTCTGTGCTTTGTTATGGGAAAGATAAATTTAAGGTTTTTTTGACCTGCTTTGGTATGGGAAGTTATGAGCCAGGAAATGTAGGTGAAAAAAAATATGTATATATCATACATATGTACTGTGTGTGTGTGTGTATTTGTCATAATGTGATGTTGAGTAAGGACTCAGCCTTTCTTGTTCTTTATTCAGGTTACCGATAGACTGGATGAAGCTCACCCCAATGATGTGGGCAGTCTGCTTTACTCATTCCACAAACATCCTTGCAAATTTGCTCAGAATAATGTTTAAATACAGAGTCTACCCCCATACACACACACACACACACACACACACACACAGACTTCAACAGTTTGCCATACTAATAAATGTCTGGAGACTAATCACCACCACCACTTTGAACACTTTTTGTAATTATAGAAGCCAAAGGTAACTCATTTCAATCTCATAATGTCTCGATAAATTTAGTATTAAAATCTTTATGCAAGTTTTTCTTTTCCTGGTGTGTGTGTGTGTGTGTGTGTGTGTGTGTGTGTGTTTGGTGGATTTTATATGGGTAACCAGTGGATCAATTAGACACATAAAATTAATAATCCTAGGGCCAAAATATACTTTACATCCACCTATTTGCACTTTGACTATTTTTAATAGTTCTCTGGAAAAGCCACTCATCCATGTGAATTTAGAATCATCAGAACCTGGTTGGTGTAGTTAAAATTGTCACTGCACTATTAAAGTTGGATTGAGTTGAATGATAGTTTCTCCATATTTGTGGAGTGTAATTTGTAATATTTTCTTCTGGTTTAATTATGTGGTTGCTGCTACTATTTTTTTATTCATGAAGTTTATTGGTACATTATTAGGTATATAATATGCTAACATTCATCATTGGGATCTTGTACCTTCACATGTTATATCTTGGTTCTTCTTTTTTTTTTCCCCCATTCCTCTGCCCTCCCTTCAGTCCCTCCCTATTTACAAAAAAAAGACTTCGTCTCTGTTTTTTTTCTTTTATCATATTTATTCCTTTCCCCTACCCCTCCCACTTACCCTTCCCCTTTGGACCTTTTCTTTCTGTTTCAACTTATCTATTATACATTTTGATCCTTACTTACACTTTTAATTTTGCACACCAGAGAAACTGCTCAGCATTTAAATATGTGTGCCCTATTTATTTCACTTAAGAGTTGGCCTAAATGGTTGCTGTTTGTGAATATTAACTGTATCAGTGAGTGCATCTGTTTGTTTCATTTTCTTCATTTTTCATCATTTCTCTTGTGGGAAGGTTCTAATACACAAGCTTAGTCATTTTGACCAAGCTGTCGCATCTCTGGAGTGGCTGGTTTGCAGCATGTAACAGCAATTCCCAGAACAATTTACAAAAGCCTTGTTGACTGGCATGGCATTTTGTTAACAGGCCTCTTGTATTAAAGTATGTCAGTGAGCAGCTGGAGTGAAAAGGTAGTGGATTTGTTTTTGAGCTTCCGTACCCTTCATAGGACCTTAGACAAATCCCTTGACCTCATCTCTAATGCCCCATAATACCCACTACAGCCAGAGGGCTGATGGGAGGATTACAAAAATAAGAATATGTGTGAATTGCACCGTGTACACTTTATTTCCTAGCTTATATGAACTGGCAGTATATCCTCTGCCTGGTAGTTATTTTCATGGCTTTATTTTGTTGAAATAGAATGGTATTCTTGTAATTCACCTGATTTAGAATCCACTTCTCAAGGAAAGGGTAGAAAGGGTACTTGAGATGTGCTTTTCTTTGCTGCTGTTCATGAAGTTAATGGATTCCAAGACACCTCCTTATTCATATGGTACCTGATTTTTACTTGAGTAACACTTCACTCAATTGGACCAAACTAGTATTGGTGCTTGAAAATTTTTTTAAAATTATAAAACATTCAAAGAATTGCAGTATGTCACTCTGAGGTCCTAGTTTTGACCCTCTTCCTCAGGCTAGGTCACATTCTTAGTGTTCATCCAGCATAGGGACATCACGATGCCTTTCTTGCTGTCCACTTTCAGTTCATATGCACGTTACATTGAACAACCTGGTTTATTTATCTGAGTTACTGAAACTTCTTGTTTTGGCCTACTGTTTCTACTTTTAGAGCACCTGTATTCCGTAAATGCACAGTTTGAAGGGTATTTCTTCAAATGTATTTGCTTTTAAGTTGCCCTAACAATAGCGTTCAACCACTAACATTCTAGTTTTGCTAACTGGCTATAATTTCTGTATCTCTCCCTTTAAATGAATAAGATATTTTTAAACATTTCAGTTGTTTACTCTAGATTAGAGGCCTCTTTTTCCTTTACTGTTCTGTTCCTTTTCTCTGGACCCATTCTGTTTATTCTCACTTCACTATTGGCAGTTTGGCCTAAGCTTTTCATTAAGTTTTTGCTTTTTCTCCACTAAGGTTATTATATATAAAGATTTTCTTTGTCTTTAAATGCCTTGCTCGGAGCATAAATCAGGAGTGATTTGGAATTAGCATATTATAAACACACTCTGTGATTTGCTGTCATATATTTAATCATCCCATGCACAGCCACACGTGAGCAAACCACTTCAATGCCAGCAGCTTATAGACACAGGTCAGCCAATGATTTGGGCTAGAATTTGCTCTGGCAGAGGACACTGTGATCAATACTCCTTCTTCTTTGCTGATTTACACCTTTGCATCATTAATTAAAGATGCGAGAACATTAAGCTAATTAATTGAAGATGTATTATGGTTGAACCTTAATTTGACGAAGTGAGAGATCTTACTAAATGTTAATTCGCTAAGAAATTTTAACTAGGAAACAGTTGTATTCATCAGTCAGCTGTAAGGTAGTTGCTTACATTGTGATGTTAGCACTGGTGAGTTTAGAAATAGGATTGTTGGAAATAAAAACAGGTGGCAGGTATGTGAGGCAGTGTCAGTCATACAGATGCGGCAGCCTCAGTGGGTAATGGAAACTGAAATAGGACAACAGATGTCTGATGCCCAACAGCTTATAAAATACATTTTCCTAGACCACACTCAGATAAGAGTGAAATGATTTTGAAATATTAACTGGGAGGAAAGATATGTGAGTTGTAAAGGCAAAGTTCAATTTCACTGGAAGCCAAAGAGGATTTATAACCTGTTGGAATTTCCATTTGAAAAGACAAGGGCTTTTTTCTGCTTTTCTGTGATGGCTGGTAGATACTTCAGTATTTCTTGTTAACTTTTAGTATTTTCCTAGCTTTTGGCTAAGTAGTATTAAAAGATATATAATATTGACTTTTCCTGTTACATAGAAGCTGTTCAAATAACTAACAAAGGAAGGAAATCAGTAATGAACAACTTATTTAAATGTTTGACGACCCCGCTTCAGAATAGATTGTGCAGAGGAAAGAGCCAGCACTGAAAGCACTGGTGAGAAGACTGGATGTAAGGGGTGTATCATTGTTTTTACTAATCCTGTGAATTACTAGATCAGACATCAACATTGAAATGCAAGTATCAAAATACAGTATCGTTATTGTTTTTTTGTTTTGTTTTGTTTTCAGTTTTTTGAGACAGGGTCTCACTATGTAGTTGAGACTGACCTGGAACTCACTGTGTAGCACAGGCTGGTCTCCAACTCACAGCAATCCTCCTGCTTCAGCCTCCCAAGTGCTGGGATTACAGGCGTGTGCCACCACACCCAGCTCTATAGTATCATTATTGTCAGTTTAACCTTTAGAGTAGGTTGATGTGGCTGTGGAAGCTGTCCAGCTAAATATGGACATGGCTTTATTATCAGATTTTTCCATTTTATTTTTTTAATTTCACCTGTTATTTTGTAGGAGAGAAACATGCATAGGCATGCTAGTTTTTTGTAGCATGTTTTCCTGTGGTAACACTGAAGAACAATTTCTTCATTTGATGTATTATTCTATCAATAATGACAATTGCTGGAATATTTGAAATTGTAATTTTATATTTCTGTATTTATTATTTTGCAAATATAAACTGAAAAAATCTGAAGAGAACCCATTGCTGTGAACGCTTATGGCAGTGATACCTGAATTCTGTAATATCAGAAATTAAATAGAATCATGTATTGGTGTGAACTGACTGTCCTAAACTCTTGCCCCATTTCTGCAATAATTGTTTCCATGAATACATGAACAGCTTAATTTCTTTGAACCTTATCTGCAAATTGGAAGTTTGGAACTTGTCAGAAGTTCCTTGAAGATGCATTGTCACTGAGAGTAATAAGGTATTATCTTGTGGTCACACGCTCAATGGCAGGTTTTTTCATTTGTTCATTCAGTTAGGGAGCTGAGGAAACAGCCATGTAGGACACAGACCTCCAGATATGTCATGACATTTGCTTAATTACTGCTTAATGCCTACATTTCAAATCAAACTCAGTCAAAAGAAGTATATTCAATCTAGAATTAATGATGTTTATGCTTTTTCTTTTGATTTTAGGAGCTTATTTAATGAAAAGTGCCCTAGACTGAAAAACCAAACATGAGGGTAGCAGGTAAGCTATTTAATCCATGGATATAATTTTGACTTTTGGGGAAACTATTTATAATGTCTAAAGGAGCAGGTAAATGGTGTTTCTTTATATTGAGTACAGAGCTAGAATAAGTTAATGTTAAGTGAAATAAATCAGACACACAAGCTTATATATTGCATGAGAAACCCAAATTGTAAATAAAGAGCAAAATAAAAGATAACAGGAAGTAGGGAGATAGATCTTTCTCAGTTGAGAAGATCAAGAGATGCAGAGGGAGGGGAAGGGGGTGAAAAAGGAATTAAGATTTGCTATGTACATGTACCAACTCCAAACAAGGAATGTAATAATATACTTACTGCAAACATAGACTAATAAAAAATAATTCTTTAATCTTAATTTTTTTAGGTAGTTAGCAAAACACATATTGGATGTTTAGTAAGAATTTTGTAAAGTTTTAGTGACATTTGAAATTTCAGTAAATATTCTAAGTTCTGTTTTTAATATTTATTTCTTATACATTAAGTTGTTTGCTTAGTGTGATATATAAAGTTCCCATATGAAGAATGGTTTTGATAGCACACGGAAGGTGATTTTTGTTTTTGCAAAGGTATAGCCTCTCGAGAAAAATGAGTTCTAAAGTTTAAAAGTTTAAATCTCCCATATAACATTATAACTAAAGTGTGCAGAGGATTCACTAAAATGTATATGTGCATAGTTGAATCTGTGAAGTTATGTTTAGGACTTTAATCTCTTCCTGAAGCAGCTTTTTTTTGGTACTGGGGTTCGAACTCGGGTCCTTGGGCTTGTGAGGCAGGCAGCGGAACCACTGAACTAAAACCTGCTACCCTCATGTTTGGTTTTTCAGTCTAGGGCACTTTTCATTAAATAAGCTCCTAAACCCTGAGCCCCTGCAGTGTATTTTAAAAAATGAAAAAAATAAATGTAAGGTAGTTATCTTTAAGACATTTCAAAAAGACCGATGTATAGTTACATGGATAACCTCTTCCTACCTGTAGGAAATTGTTTCTCCCACACTTCTAGTAAAGGCCTAAAGAAATGCATGGTTTACAAAGGAATTTCTACTAAATATGTGCCCAGTATGGAAGGTGATTTGTAGTTTCTCAAAATCAAGATAATTGGTCTTTTAATTTTTTTCACTGGGAAGCTAAATTATTTTCTTAAAGAAGTGTCTTTTAAAAATGCCTAATGGGGAAGTAAACAAACAGATCTTCGTAATTTGGTCATAATTGTATAGTCAGGCAAGTTGATCAAACACCATGATTATTAAACAGATGTAATTGAAGGTTGTTACTAATGCTTTTGTGAAAATTAAAAAAACTGGATCTCTTTGCCATGAAGTTACAAAACATCTTTTAAAAAGTAATTGTACAATTGTTGAAGAAAAGTCTTCCCAGAAACCACAAGCTTGTTTGTGGTTTAAAAACACATGCAATGTCTTATTTTGAATGGTCTTTGAGTATATCAGGACTATTTAGGATTTTATATCTCTCTAGATGATTTAAAGTACATTATTTAGGCATGGTGTCTCGAAAAGCAAGTTTCTATTTGACCCATAATTCTAACTGTTCTAGTTTAACTTTATCATCTAGTTCGTTTTTCAGATTCTGACAATTAATGCCCAGGTTATTTGATGGATAATTATATACTAAGGGCTTATTTTATGTTTGGCACTATTCCAAGTGTAGATCTTGAGGGAACTGCCTTAGTGAACAAATAGGGAAGATTAGTTGCTAGTTTATTGATTTTAACAAATTATTACCTTCTATTTAAAAAAAAAATACCTGATTTCTTTGAAGTATCCATATATCTGTTACTCTTACATATATCTGTTACTCTGATGTTTATGCTGTATGGTTTGTGAAAAACAGTAATACCTGCTTTCCAGGGCTAGAAAGAAAAAGGGATTTCCTAAAAGGTTCAGAATGGGAATTGTGTGGTGTGTTACATTGTCTTCTAAATCCACAATTGAATATTGGTTCTGAATCAGGCCAGCTTTCTAGAAGATCTTCCAGAACAAATTCCAAAACAATGCTAGTTTCTCTATCTTTAGCTTTTCTTTTTCTTAGAGCTTTTGTTTCTTCCTGGTTCTGCTGTTGGTTCAGTGAATAGGTCTTGATGTAAGTGCTGCCATTTTCTAGTTCTAGGAAGGTAATACAAAATTTTAGCCTCCTTTTCTGTATTTATAAAATGAAAGTAATATTTGAAAAGCTGTGTAAAGTGAGATTGTGCCACTATAAAGCTCTACAGTGGGCACTCAGTAGATGGTATATACACCGCCTTAGTGATTTTCTCATTGCTGGGACACGGTTCCCGACACCTACAACTCAAAGGAAGAGCGGTTTGGTTTGGTTCATGTTTTCAGCCCATTGTCAGCTGGCTCCAAAGCAGAAGTGGAAGTGTCCCGCCTAAGAAAGCTGCTCACGTCATAGTCATAGTGGCTGGAAAGCAACGAGAGAAGGGCAGAGTCAGGGAGGGAGATGACCCTTCCAGGTCTTGCCCTAAATGATCCACCTCCAGCCAGGCCCCGCCTTGAACAGAACTCTCAGCTGCCTAAACTCATTAGTGAACAAATCCACTGATGGGCACAGTGCCCTCATGAGCCAGCTGCCTTTCAAAAGCCCAACCCTGAGCACATGAGAGTTTGGGGGACGTTGTGGATCTAAACCATAACACGTACTATATAAAAGTATATATATATATATATATGTTTTTCTAACTTTTTATTTGGCTCTGGTGTAATTTGTAAAAAAATTAGACTAGAAATTTATAAATATGATTTTAAAAAAATTATTTTAATATCTCCCACATTCAACCATAAGTTTCACATTTCTGCTTTATGGGCAGACAAGGAAAGGTTATCTTTGGTTACACATTCTCATAATTGCCAGAAAATAAGATGGTCTTACTAGCTTGCAGTATATTATCTTCAAGCTGTGGTCTTAAATGACCAAGAAAAATATTCCACCTGTTATTGTTCATCTCTTTATCAAAGAGTTGTTGATGGTATTACTGTACATGCACCACTTGGCTACATCTTGGTGGAAAGGGTGAATTTTATGCTTTTATACAATAAAATGTAGGTAGCTTGTAGTTGCTCCTCAAGATGTAAGGTAGAAAAATGGAGGAGAGAGGCTGGGATGGATTAATGGTTATAGTTCCTTGTTGTCACATTGTTACAGTGATAGAATTTTTTTAAAGCTTTAACTTTTAGAGCCATTTTGAATTCACAGCAAAATTGAAAGTACAGACTTTTACCATTTACTTTCTATTCCGTATCCACCGCATGTATAGCCATTAATAGAGTGTTTCTAAATAGCAGTGAGTAGGCTTTGAGGAGCTGCTGCTTCTCCACGTTCTCAGCCTTACAGAGCATCATCAGTTCATTCCCTTCCTTCGCCTGTAAGGATGCAGTCAGTTCTTTTCAGGTTTGTGAAATTAAAATGAGCATACTTATATTTTGTTCCTCCTTAATAAATTGAGCTTGCTATTTTTTTCTAAAGAATGAAATAATTCAGTGTTAGAATGGAGTATTATGCAAACCTCTCGGCTTTGTTAGGATTCCTGGATTTCGGTCCTTGTGCTGCCACTAATTTATCTGTAATCCTGGGTGATCACCACACTTCTAGGCCTTTTTTGCTTTAAGAAAGTGAGATGAATGCTGGTCTTTTTACCTCCTACTTTTTTCTCTTCCTTTTTGCAGTACCACTGAGCTACATAACCAGCCCTTTACCTTTTACATCAATATAAATTATGGAAAGGGGAATGGAATTTTATAAACATATATTAGTGTTGTTCCTGAATAAGCTAGTGATATACCTCTGAGATCATAAGCTTAAGAGGAAGATATTTTTTGCTGATGTTTTTCTATTTCTTATCTTGTACTTTGTCCTTTACCTGATCTGATAAGCATTGGAGAAAAAGCATAAGAGAGAATTCATGTTAGGCAATAATGTAAGTGATAACTGTTTGTAAGGCACTCATAAGTAAAGATATAAAGGTATTAAAGATGAGGCATCTACCCTCGTGGAGCTCATCATATAACTGTGTTATAAAATATAAGATAGATGCCAAATTAAGTGCTCCCGGATTGGAAGGCCTATCCTAATTTAAGTATTAAATAGGAAGACTTTGTTCTTTGCCAAGCCATGAGTGATATAGCTAGAGATATGTTAGTAAACCTGTTACATTTCACTTGAGAACTGGCGGCTTAGTGGATGTCTTGGCCTTAATATCCCCAGAAAGTCCAGTGTTTCACAGCATCTCTGTATAGTGTTACCCTTTATATTTGGAAAGGACTAGGAATTGCATCATGAAATAAACTCAGCCTTGACATTTTTATGTAGCCAGCTAGGAACTGATAATAGGTAAGGTTTTTTGCATGTAAAAGTACACAGTCTTAAAGAAACTTAGTTAAAATGCGTACAAAAATTCTGTGGGCTGAAGACTCATGGTAAACTATTTATGCTTTTTATCTAGGAGCTGCAAAGTTGGTGGTAGCTGTGGCAGTATTTTTACTGACATTTTATGTTATTTCTCAAGTATTTGAAATAAAAATGGATGCAAGTTTAGGAAATCTATTTGGTAAGTTTCACTTTTTTCTCTTTTTATACATTATTTTTAATGTGATTGTCTAAATTTTTATCAACTCTCAACAAACATTGATTCACTGCTGTTTAGCCTGTCTAGAAAAATAACTATATCAGTAAAGGTGATTTGTTAGACTATTCTGAAATGGGTAAGAAGTCTTAGAATTTAATAAAAAGTAATGAATCTTCTATTCAATACTTTGAACATATTTTGAAAGACTGTTTTATACCTAGTAAGAGACATTAATCATGGTTTCTAAATGCACAGTCTAGAAGATAAAACACCCATGAATTTAAATTTTGGCTGCTGGAAAACTTAGACCCCAAAATAGTCATTACCAAGTGATTAGGAGTCACAATAATGCATTTTAAATATTGGTCATTGAAATTCATATGACTTTTTTGTCCTTATTTTCTTTTGTGACTATTTTTGGTATCCATTCATTTAATGTTTCTGTATTATAAGGCAGTCTTTAACAAAATCCGTAAGTTAATGAAATGGAATCAATTTAATTTTATTTTAGAGAGTTGTATATCTACCTAATGTGTCTTTCTAGTCTGTAAGTATATCATTATGAGAATTAATGTTTATCTATTAAAGTGAGAAATACTTATATTTAACTAAACCTCTATATAAAATTAATTGAGTTTCTTCTGGAGAGATTTATGCCTTCATGTTTGAATTTAGAGAAGTTACTGATACTTTCCATAAATCTTATGTTGAGTAAATTTTGGCTGCAGTGTTAAGATGTTAAAAATTAAGCATGAAAAGTGAAATTGTAAAACTTAACAGTATTTTGGCCTAATAAGCATAATTGAATGAAAGAACTTTGAGATCTCTGGATTAGTGAGCTTTGCTTTGCATGAATTAATACTTGGGAGGGATCCTTCTGTGTGTCTTCCCACCAGAGCAAGGGTAGTAACATCTTAGTGCTTCACCCTGCATTAACACTGAGTCTGGCAGATAGAAGTACTGATTGAGTTTAAATGATAATTGAGAATTCAGATTTTTTTGTGAGAAAGAAGTGTATTTCCAAAGTGGAAAATGAGGGATAGTCAGCTGAAAACAAATGCTGAATACTTTAACTAGGATAACTGTCTCTCCTGATTTTCATTTACATTTTTCCTAATGTTAAGTACTTGCAAGGTTTTACAGTGTGCATTTTAGCTATTTAATTTAGGCACTCTTAGGGCAGATGCATGTTTTGATGTCATAAATGAAGTAGTGTATTATATTTATAAAACCTTAGTATATTCCAATCTGTTGGGTTAGTGAAAATTTGATTTGTGGAGTTTTATTTTATTTTCAGACTATTATCAAAATGAATTGTGTGTTATGTTCTGTGATTTGTTTAGCATCTAGCTTAATTTATCAAAGGGAAGAAGTTTAGCCCAGTTTGGGATGGTTTCTGTGATCAGTATTCCAGGTGCCTATAAGATTAACTAGTTCTTTTAGTGGCAAGTTTTCTATTTTTCTCACTTGCTGATATGACAGCTTACTTGATACTTGATAGCTTCTGTAAATCATTATGATCCAGGTTTATTATGTAGTATTTTAGAAAATTAAATTTATTATTCAAATTAGTTGAAATTACAAGGTAAGTGATGATTTTTTTTTTTAAACAATATTTTAGTCTGGGTTCAGCGGTAGAGCATATGCTTAGCAGGTGTGAGGCCCTGGCTTCAATCCCCAGCACCAAAAAACAAACACAAAATGCAAACCTACAAACGAAACAAACAAAAAACTTTTTTTAACAAAATATTTTTGAGAATTGTGAAGTTATATACATTTCTAAGAGATACTCAGACCCAGGCATGGTGATACTTGCATGTAGGCCTGCCACTCAGGAGGAGGAGGCGAGAGGATTGTTGAGTGTGCAGCCAGCTTGGACTATGAAGCAAGTTCAAGGCTAGCCTGGACTGCATAGCAAACACTGTGTCAAAAAAAAAAAAGTACTCAGAGATTCTGCATGCCCTTTACTTGGTTTCTCCTGTTGGTAAAATCATGGAAACTATAATGTATTATCCCAGCCAGGATGTGAACATGGATACACTTCACCAGACTTATTTATGATTGTGATTTAGTGTAATGTTAGTTTTCAGCATGTGCACTTAGCTATTAAATGTATAGAACTCAAGTCTAAATTATTTTTGCATGTTTTGCAGTGAATATTTAGTTTTATGGGTTGATTTATTTTTATCCCGTGAAATTTAAATCCTTGGCAAGTAGTATATACATAAATTTCCTGAGGCATTATTAAAAACTAAAGTACAAAATAGTTCTGATTCATTAGCCTTATTGAAAGACGTTCACGGATACAACTAAATCAGAAAGATTTGTTATTGCTCCTTGAAGTGAGAAGTTGTAAGTATCAAAAGAAATTAAGGACTAAAGCTATCAGAGTTTGAAGAATAAATGCTGCATAAGAGGAAGGGGTTTGGTGCCTGTGTGTTATGCCTACACTCATGACATCCTCTATGATGGAAAGTAATTTACCTGTTTGGTTCCAGCTGCTAACCTTTTCAGAATGATAGGCCTCGTTTTGATGAGTATAGGGTAACAGTGAAGTTTCATCTGTAAAGAAGTCCTTCTTGAGAAGGACATCTTGCTCCCCCCTTCTTACACTTACACAAAATAAATGGAAGTGATGATGTGTACTTGAAAGTTTTCTGATTAACAAACCGATTTCCCAAAAATTGTATCTCAATAAAGTTATGTCTCATTCTTTTTCCTTTGACTTGTTTCCTTTGGCTGTTTTCACACTTCAAATTTTACCAGCAAGCTAACGTGACCATTTTATTTATTTATTTTTTTCCGGTACGGGATTGAACTCAGGACTTTGCACTGGTCAGAGAGGCATATGCCACCTAGCTATATCCCCAGCCCTCTTGACCATTTTAGAAAGTCCATTGTGATTTTCCTTCTATCTGCTTTACTTTAGCCACTCCAGGTTTCTAAGTTTCTTGGTCTCTGGTCATCATTTGATAACTGAAGGACTGATCTATTTCCTAATTTTCCAGTTTATATTTTAATCCCAGTTTCTCTTTGCAGTCAGCCTCTATGCTATTCCATTTGTATCTTCAAAAGAGTTCTTAACATTAGCAAGTCCTGCAGAGTTCAACATATATCCCCACCCTTGTATCCTTCCTCTTGCAAACATCTTCAGCACAAAGAAGATATGAATGCTTTAATATTTAGTGGCCTTGTGAATGAATAGCCAGATGCTTTTAAAGTCAAATCCCTGACCAGTATCCTGATTCCTCCTCTCCAGCACTCCTGCATCTGGTCCTTTCTCAAGCCCTGTCAGTGGTTTCCTTAGTTGTTCTGAGTCTACTTTTTTCAAACCCACAGTCAGTACCTTTCATATTTTCTTCCTATCCTTTTTTTTATCTGGATTACTTCAGCAGTGTAATTGACAGCTCACCTTCTCTACTCTTGAACCCTCTTCAGTCAAAGTGTTTGTTCTAAAGGCTCCTTGTCCTTCTTCCTGCTCCTGGCAGGACTAGCAGTTTTTTGAATGACCTCAACATTCCCATTTTCAGAGGTGGTCCAGTATGAGTTTGAGTGCCACATGAGAGGCAGCTTTAGAACCTAGCTCTGCAATTACTATGACCTAGAACGGGTCAAGTTGGTAAACTGTGTGGTCTCAATCTTTTTATCTTTAAAGAAAAAATTACAGTCAAATCTATAGTAGAGGGAGACTCACCATGTACGAATGAGCTGTCTAATCTTAACTCTGCTCTGCTCCCGGTCTTCCCAGTATCTTACTGCCATAGATGAGGTAGACCAGAGTTGTGTTCTCAACACTGCTACTTTCTAGAAATTATAAAACTTGAGCCAGGTAATGCCTGTATTCAGGACCTAGTGAAGTTGAGAATTCCCAGTCCTTATGCCTCCTGGGCTTTAGTTTTCTCATTTGTAAAAGTAAGATCATTCGATAAAATCTCTGTTATTATGTTTCCCCTTTTATAATGTAATCATGGAAAATGACATAATTAAGAAAATTGAAAGAATGAACCCCTGTAATCCCAACAACTAAATTTACCAACTTTTCATGGTTTTTGTTTGTTTGTTTGTTTTCTTCAAGTCTGTGTCCTTATGCAGAAATATTTTTAGTATTTAAAGTTAGGGTATGGATAAACTTTGTTTTCTACTTTATTTCATATATTAAACTTTTCCCACATTAGTTATTATAGTACTTTATGATTTATTAAAGTCATAAAGTGCATAGTATTCTAGTGACTGCAATGTTAGGTGAATGGGGCTTTACTTGGTCATTTTCCTTCTTTTGAACATTTAGATACTATCTAAATGGTAACTTTTTTTTTTTTTTGCAGTTTGAATGTTAACAGGAAATTCACAATATCAAAAATAGTACAGAAATAAAAACTAAGTGGCTACATATAGTCAGACAGCTGGTTAACATTTATCACACTGCATACTTATTAGTCAAATCAGGAAATGGGTGTTGACAATACTTTGATGCTCTGAGATATAATTTCCCAGACTGGGACCAGAAGTTGGTGCTTAGAGAGAGTACTACCTGTAATTGTGACGTATGACCAGGTTGAGATCTACTACATTCATGTTAAGGTTTGACCTTGTGGCTTCCTTGAGCCTGGTGAACTCTTTGTAATGACCTTTTTAAAAAATATTACTCTTATACTTAATTCATTTCTATTTTTGAGAAATTAAAGCTCCCTACTCCTTACCATCCCCTTCTTTTCCATCCTCTGATTTTTTTGTTCTAACCTAACCAACAAGTTGGATTTATATATATTCTCTGGAACTTTATATGCGTATGTACTCAATATCATAGCAGTTATAACTTTTAGTACTGTAATTATTTAACAGGTAATATGTTAATAATCATTTGAAGATAAGTTTTGTAGAGCAATTTTCTAATTGGGATTTGAATTTGTAATAACTAAAATAACAAAGTATAAAGATAAAAATAAAATTTTCTACAGTAGTAATGTACTACTCTCCGTGATTCCTCCACATAATAGTTTATAATGAATTGTATAAAGTTAATTTATCTGAAGTGGTATTCATGTTTTACTTATTGTATACTGATTATTCAAACACCTATTTTCATAAGCCTTTTAGAAGCCCTAAATGTGTTTTCAAAATGGATACTTTCCAGTAGGTTTATTCTAACAAAAGTAACTTTCTTTTTTTTCCCTTAGCAAGGTCAGCCTTGGATACAGCTACACGTTGTAAGTAATTCCTGTTAATATTTTACAAATGTGTATTCATCTGTATTTTAGGCACACGATAATGTCTACTTAAGTCAGTGCTGATAGTTCAGTATAAGTAGAAACTTACTTGGAAATTGTGTCTTAAAGTTATGTGCCCGTAGGCTGGGGATGTAGCTCGGTGGTAGATCCTTAGTATAGTTTGTGTGATGCCCTGGGTTGAATCGTTAGAACCACCAAATAAAAGTGTAGGTAAATTTCTGTGGCTGCTATTTGGGCAGCTCAATATCATTGGTGGGTTTTTTGTGTGTTTTTTTGTTTTGTTTTGTTTTTTTGGTACTAGAGATCGAACTCAGGACCTTGTGCTTGCGAGGCAGGCAGCAGAACCACTGAGCTAAATCCCCGGCCCTATCATTGATATTTATTCATAGTGAATATTTTCTTCCACTAGTGCTTTTTAGGCCCACTACTATAAGCCCAGAAGGTAACAGAGTAAAAGGAGAATTTCTAGTTGAAGGTGGCTAAAGGGACATGAGTCTTTTTATTTATCCTTGAGGTAACTGGATTTTATGGATCTGCAGACTGGAAATGCAGAGTAACAATTTGAAACCTCCTGTACCCTAAAATTTAAAGATAAATTCAAGCATAAGTAGATATCTATATTAATTAAGAGTGTATAATATATACTTGGTCCCCTTATAACAGTTGTTAGCTTTTGACCCAGCAAGGTCTAGTTTTGTTACTGTGTTTTGTTAAAAACTTTGAAACCCTTATAGGGAAAAAAATTCTAGTATATATTTTAAAATATGTATATCAATGTTTTACATAATGCCTTTGTGGCTTGAGATGCAAAACAAATTGTAGAGTCTGTTAATTTGTGGCTTAACAACAGCAACAACAAAATGCTATTTGTCCCCTAAAGCTACGAAGCCTCCCAGATACAAATGCGGGATCTCAAAAGCTTGTCCTGAGAAACATTTTGCTTTTAAAATGGCAAGTGGAGCAGCCAATGTGGTGGGACCCAAAATCTGCCTGGAAGACAATGTGTAAGTGTGTGTTGATTGGCACTGTAAATTACAGCTAGTGGATCCTGATGGCTCAGGGAATCTTCTGAAAATGGACTGGACATGCTTTTACTAAAGGAAAGTGATTTTAATTGTCACAATTATTTTCACATGAATTTAAAGTTTTTATTTTGTATTAGCAAGTGACTAAGAATGCAGAATTTACCAGCTTTGTGTGCAGTGAGGAGTTTCTTCTGAGTGAATTCTCTAGAATTCTCATTGTCCTGTTTGCTAGGCATTAGACACATGTGGTTATTTAATTTTAATTATTGTACCCTAGGCAGGAAGTTAGTTCATTTAAATTGCACCTGTAATCCCAGCACTTGGGAGGCTGAGGCAGGAGGATCGCTGTGAGTTCAAGACCAACCTGGGCTACATAGTGAGTTCCAGGTCAGTCTCAACTATGTAGTGAGACCCTGTCTCAAAAAGCCAAAAAAAATAAAAAATGTTTAAAAAATTAATTAAAATTGAAAGCTCAGTGCCCAGTCACTGCACATTTCACATGTTCAGTAGTCAGGTGTGTCTCCTGCCCACCTGTTTGAACAACCCAGCTAGAGTCTTGTTGACAGCACTATTATGAATGATGAGCATTGTACCTTGCCAACTGGCATTTCTCATTTTTAATACTTATGTTCACTGCTACTTATTGAAATGTGAACTAAACCACAGGTCTTTTGCTACACAAACTCCTTGCTCCTGAGCTGGTTTCCCATGGTGAGATGCTGCACAAAGTAGATTTTATAAGCTTTTCGGAGTCCTGTTTCTTTGCCAGCAGCCACCTATGGTTTAAATCACTTCCTCTTAGATTGCAAACCCCGCTTCCACTTGCTTGCTTTTATACCTGGAGAGTTAAATACATGAGCACATTTAAATTTGATATGGAATAGTAAGACATTTAATTCTGTAGAATAAAGACTAAGTTGTTACTAAATATATTAAAGGAGTCTTACCTATACTAGGCAGTTTCTTCAAGACATTTTTGTATCTCTTCTTTTTAATGTAGAAACTCTTACATTTTTATCCTGGCTCCTTTTGCAGTGGGTTGGCTACGGAAGGTTGTTTTTCCTCATGGGATAAACTTTTCTTAAAACATTAAGAGCTTGAGCTAGATTATCAAGACCTCTGCTTACTTCCTTTTGAGTTTTTCTTCATGTTACTGGTGATGCATTTTTAACAAACTGCCTTGGTATCTCATTATACTAGCGTTGTTTTACCAATATGTAATAAGGCACTTGGGTTTTAGAAGTTTGTAGATTTTTAAAAAAATATTCCTATTTCCCATTTACCTCAGTTGGCTGCAGACTCCAAGTTTGATTCTAAATACAGTAGTAGGAAAAAAGCTCTTATCCTGAAAATTTTCCTTAGATGCCTACTCTCCCTCTTGACATAATGTAAGCTTAATACAAAGACGAGATCATTTTTTTTTTTTTTACTAGCAGATTTTCTCTTCAGAGATTATATAGGTGAAAAAGAAAAGTATGTAGATGATAAGCCTGATAAAGCAGTACTGGGCCTGAAGCCAGAGAATTTGTTTCTAGCCTGGTGAGCGAGTCATACAGAATTTATACTGTATCTCAGTTTCTTTAACCATAAAATTAAGTCTGGCCTCTAATCCATCCACATTTTAAGAAACATTCTGCCATTCCCATGAGAAATCAAATAATTGATGGGATTTTATAGCTAGGCTTCAGGCCATGAAGCTGGTCCCAGTATCAGGGCTGAGTAATTGGCCAGAGATCCCCAGTGGAGACACCTTGGGGACCCAGTCATAGTCCAGTGCCTTTTGCAGTATATTCTATTTCTAATCTTTAAAAGAAATTTTAAGTTTAAAGAATCTGAGTTTTCTGAGCATTATTCATTCACTTATTATTCATTGGACGTAGGCTTCAGTCTAGTAACTATGAGAGATGCTTGAAAAGTAAATGCAAGTAAGTGATTGTAAGTTGCAACAGCTGTGTAGGCATCCGTTGTGATACATACTGGTGGGAGTGAGTGAGATGAGGCGTCTACTGGAGTGAGGGTCAGAGAACAGATTCTGACGCAGTGTGTGTAGCAGGGAACTGTGGGATGAGAAGGAAGACAGCCGGCTGAAGAACGGACAGAAGGATGAGTGTGTCGGAGGACTGTACGATGGGAAACCTCTGGAGAAGTGGATAGGGCCAGGCCACGGAGGGACTTGTAGGCGGTGCAGATAATGAGTTGAATGTTTTTTCTGTGTCATGAAGTTGTTGAAAGTTTTCATACTCTGGCATGTTGTGATTTCATTTATGTTTAAAAAAATGATCTGCCCGCTGTGTGAAGTGTTTATGGAATAGAGAAAATATTGGGAAAACTGTTGCCAGTTACTGCTAGCTCTTTGATACTGCCTCCCTTTTGGGAACAGACTAGGGCACCCTCTAAAACAAATAAGTGGATAATAAAAATATGTAAGTGGAAATTTTTATATTTTCTTGTACCTGCTCTGAATACATGCAAATTACTTTGGAAACTGCTAATCTAGATCACTGTGTCTCCATAGGGGTGGTTTTGCTTCCCAGGGGACACTTTTCATTTGTCACAGCTGTGGAGGTGCTGCTCTGAGTCTGAGACGCTGTGCAGCAGTGTTTACTGTACAGTGAGCCCCTCCACAAGAACGACCAAGCCCATAATGTCATCATCTGCCAAGTACAAGAAACTGATAGAGACAAAAAGTGGTAATTAAGGTTAGGGTGTAGTTGTGATGTTACAAACAAGTGAAATTTATATGAAATTGATGTTATTTTTATTGTTAAGGACCAAGAGTTAAAGTCGACACATTATATTTACAAAATCACTTAAAATGTAACCAGATAAACAAGAAAAAAAAACATTCTCAACTCATGAGTAGCAAATCAAATTTTAAAAAGAGGAAGAAAGAAAAAAAAAGGAATGCAATTTGGCTTGTGAGCTCTAGTTTGCCAAGCCTGGCCTTAATATTTTAAGACATGGTAACTGTATTGTGTGATAAAAAATATGGTAAATACAGACTTTTTAAAAATTTTTATTTTAATAGGAAACCTACTGCTGTCAGTGTGTTTCCTCTCGCTTGGAGTACACTAATTCTGTCATTCTTACCACTTTGTGAAGTAGTCCTCTTTCATGATTGTCGTCAGTGGTACTGTAGTAGTTGCCTAGGTGGCCCACATCCATTCAAAGCATTTACCTTTTGTGGTCGTTCTGACTTTGGGGAGGATCCAGAAATCACAGTGCCAGATCTGGGGAGTAAGATGGATGGGGATACAGCACAGGATTGTAAGGGTACAGAAGAAGACCTCCAGAACAGCTTGAGAAAGTGATAAGAATGGTGGGATAAGTGTGTTCAAATGAAAGGTGGTAGTTATGCGAAGGATTAATGGCAATATATTTTTTACTATAATTTTTAAAAATTAAACGTTCATTGTGTATTTTTATAGTACCTCGTAGAAATTGTATCAGAAGATACAAACATATATAACTATTTCCTTTAAGTTTTTGCCTGGAGATGTAGGGGAAAGTGGGGACCTTTCATGTTCATAAGTGGGTTCTTTTGTTGTTACTATTTTTAGTTACAGGTCTTCCTGTTTTCATTTTTAAAAATTGATAAGCTGCTGCCCTCTTGTGGGAATCCTCTGTCATTGAGCTTCTTTTTTGCCTTCATTTCTTCATTTTATGATGGATTTGTTTATTAAACACAACAGCACACTGAGAGATGGATTTAATTTCTAACCCAACAAATTGATTATAGCTGTTGATGCTTAATATAAATGGTGGGGTTTACGTGCCTGATATATTTTTAAAATACATTAACGCATTTGAAATCCCCTTCTCTGTTGCAGCAGACCCAACACCTGTAATACAGCCTAATGTTTCTTATGTGTGTGCTCAAGACTAGGTCTTTCGCTTGAGCAGCACGGAGATGGGACTCATGTACCATACACTCGCTCCTGTAAAATATATAATCCATGTTTTTTAGTATTATTCATATGTTTTTGCAACCTCTTCTACAATCAAGTTTAAAACATTTTTATTCCTTGAGAGAAACTACTTTTTAGTTTTTGCCATTCTACTGCTTCCCACCCCAAAGCTAGTTTACTCCACTGACTACGAGTGGACTTTCTGCCTCTATAGATTTGCTTTGTTTTGGGTGTTTTACACAACTGATATTACACGTGGTTCTTTGTGATTGATTTCCTCACTTAGCATAATGTTTTCAAGTTTCATCCATGTTGTTGCCTAGCACTACATTCCTGGGCTGGGGATTTAGCTCAGTGGTTCTGCTGCCTGCCTCCTTGCAGGTCAAGGTCCTGAGTTCCATCCCCTGGTACCAAAATAAGCAAATAAACTTCATTCCTCTTATTGCTAAGTAATATTCTTTCTATGGATGGATAATATTACTTTTTGTTCACCTGTTTATTCATTGATAGACATTGTGTGTCCATTTATGACCTATTAATGAATGTTTTTATAATATTTGTGTACTAGTTTTTAGATGTGTTTTCATTTTTCTTTGTACTTGAGTACATTGTGGTTTGGATAGTAAATCTGTTTCATTGTTATAGGAACTGCCAGATTATTTTCCAAATTAGGTGGGCCAGTGTACTTTTTCAGGAGCACAGTATAAGAGCTACAGTTTTTCCATACTCTTGCCAGTATTTCTTACTATCTAACGTATTGATTATAGTCATCTTAGTAGCATTGTGATTTTGGTTTGCATTTCCCTGGTGATTGATGATATCTGTCATCTCTTTATGTGTTTCTGGCTATTATGTCTTTGGAGAAATAGCTATTCTCTTTATGGCTTTTTAATTTTCTTTATTAAGTTTTAATCTTTTGATTTTTTTAATATCTCTACTATCAATATCATTGTATTTAAAATAAGTTTCTTATAAACAACATGTAGTTGAGTCCTGTCTTAACCCATTATGTTAATTTCTATCTTTATTTGGAGTGTTTAAACTGTTTACACTGTAATAGTTATTGCTACA